CAAGAGAATGAAAACATAGGCCATAGATGGGGAGAAATATTCCCAAAATGTGTTTGTAGTCATTTTTGTTATTTTAGAAGTTAAAATCTAAACTAGAATAGTTCAGGTTCCAGAAGTTCTCAAAAAATAATCATAATTCATTATAAGCAACCTGCTTTTAAGTAGGTTTGCTTTGTCCATGGAGGTGTTCATAGCTGGTGCCAACAAGTCAGTGTTGGTTAGTAAATGAAACAATCAACATTAATTGGACTGAGCAAGGAATGAGGAAGTAGAAAACTCATGAATCAGGTTTTCTGCTTCTCCTGTGTTATCAGGGTTTATTGATTTTTTTAAAATGTTGACTTCTGTCTTATTAATTTTCACAGCTTTGTTTAAAATTCTGTAGCTCTACAATGTGCTACAATTGAATTCTACAATGTGCTAGCAAGTCTTTCATGTACTAATGCTCCTAATCAAATCATTTCTCATGATATATATTCTTGAAAAGGTAGCACGTGATCTGTATTTAATTTTCTTCATTTTGGCTCTCCTTCTCTGCTATAGCATTTATGAAGTAAGATGTTGGGGACAATATGGAAATGCTGGGTTGTTACATTAAGAGAAATATCATCATAAGGTTTCTCCTGCATCTTAATTCCCTAAGACATGAGGCTCAAGTGCCATCAAACATGTCTGGTAACAGCACCAAAATGCGAAAGTCCTTGGTGTGAAGGAGCAGCTGTGGAGATCTGAGCTATAATAAAAATCATACAGGGTAATCTAAGGTGGGATTATTGACTCTGATTCACAAATGGGTTGAATGACTTTGGTGTTAACAAAAAACTGCCCCATCACCTCTCAAAGAGGTAAGACTTGCACTTCCTAGTGGATAATTATGATTTGTATGATGTGTGATGTGTAGGCTTGTTAGATCTTAGGCCTGCACATTAGATCTTTGACCTAGTTAGTGCACAATCCTGGCACTGAGATTGTTCTTTTAGCATCCATTCAGCAGATATGAATTTTATGTTATTTTTATTTCTTCCTGCTTCATGCTGCCTTGAGGCTTCTAATTGGAGTTGACATATTAGCTACTAAAAATGGCTCTAATTCAGTCACACCAGATGTAGTGTGCAGGCTGATTCTGCGTCACTGTGTGGCAAGTGACAGAGTAGGACTGAAAGACAGCCCATCCACTGTAGCAAGACAAAATAACAGCTTCCAACAGATTCAGTCACAGGAATTCCCTTCTGCTTGCTTTGAGAACACTGGTTCTCAAAGACTGCCCACCTTGGGAAACAGAGTTGTAGCAGGAGAGAGGATAGTATTGTGTTTTTTACCTCTTCCAGCCCCTGGAAAAAAGACTGTAGGTCTCCAAAGATGGGTCTAAGACCTTTGTGAGTATAAGAGGCAGCATCTTTTGGCCCCTGCATATGTTGCTAGAGCTAAGGAGTTGTTTGGTTTTGTTTTCAGACCCCAAGTGTAAAATCCATGAAAGGTTAGTTTTAGAATAATACAGTATGAATCAAAACTAAAAAATAAGACATGTTGGCTTGTGTCAGTATTTTCTGATATAGGTATATTTGTTGTAATGTTACTTGACTTCATGAATACCTTTAATGTAAAGTGATTTTGAATGACCTAAATTAATTTCCCAAAGACAAATCTCGGATAATTAAGCCATTTGAAAAGATTACAGAAAATGTCAATGATTGCTGTCTTTCCTTTGGACAAAAATAAGTGAGACTTTGGAATAGAGAAATAGAAAAAGAAAATAGAACTTTCCCTCAAATGCCCTGAAGAATAATTTTTCTGCTGAGGGCCCTGTTTAAAGTAGATTTTGTGAGCCAACTTAATTTTCTTACATTTTTTAACTAGTTGAAGCCTACTGTAAACAATTTTGAGAAATTTAATGTGAGATTGGCTTTATTCCAGAAGAATTGGTTTTAGTATTATGGCATAGAAGTTGAGGCTTACTGTGCTTTTTCATCCATCAGACTTTTTGTACCTAGAAAATCCCTTTTACTTAAATGTTAGAAGATTATTTACCTAGGATATTTTATTATAATGCATGATATCTATTAATGTTGATTTATAATCAACAACAATTAAAAATATAGTTTTGACAAATACTTCATTATTTTAAAGCCACACTTACCCCACCACTGATGGATCGAGATATAGAACCAGAATTTCCCTCATATCTCTAAATACGTTCTCTAATGTAATGGTATTTTCCTTGTTTGGTGATTTGTTTGGATTATTCTGAAGCAAAATTTCAAACTTTAAAAATTGAGTGACAAACTTTGTCTAATTGTGTCAATTTTGTTTCATTTACTCTGGGTATTGCTTTTCTAAACCAGAGGTAGGCATGCTTTTTCTCAAAGGGCCCTTTAGTAAATATCTTGGGCTTTGTGGTCTCTGTTGCACCCACTCGACTCTGCCTACTGGTGCAAAGCCACCGTGGACTGTGTTTAAACCGGCGAGTGGCTGAGTCTCAATAAACTTCATTTACGAAAACAGGCAGCATCGGTGGTTTGCTAACTCCCGTTCTAAACTTCCACATGTTCTACCAAAATTTAGTTCTGTGTTTCCTGCTGTGAAAGAGAACCCAGGTTTTTGTTTTTGTTTTTTTCGTTGTTGTTATTGTTGTTTTGTCCCAGCTTTGAGAGAAACCTCACAGCATCACAGCTTAGATGTTTCGAGTGAGTGCTCAACTTGGTGGTAACTCTAAATCATAATTTCTTTAGTTCTTTCTTGCTATTCACAATGTTTGCATGAACACACTTTCATTTTTTACTAAAAAATACCTAAGAGTAGAGTGACTGTGACTGTCCCTTTCTTGCTCGTGGACCACAGGCATTTCCCAGACACAGACTGGACCCTCCTCTGCGTCCTTGCGTCATGGCCTCTCCATTTCTCTCTGCAGCGTGTACTCAGCACCATTCTCATTCTGCCTTCTGAGTTGGAAACCAACCCTGTTTTGTGCCTTCTTACCATCAGTCAGTACAAAGTCAGAGCTACATTTTGCTCCTATTCGGTGATGGACCTTTGTACCAGGGGGCTGGGCTCACAGACAGACTCCCTCAAGAGAAGCAACCCTCACCCGCCCTCACAGTGCCTGCAGAACATTCCCAGTGTCCTAAGAAAGTGCAATGTCCAAGGACATGAAAAGGGTTTGGTGAAATTAAAATAATAACCCTTCACAAATCTCAGGGGTTACAAAGCTGTTTTCATGTGAAAAACTCATAACATGAAAATTTTGTCACTGCCCCAACCAAAGAGTATGATTGATATTATTGATGTCTTTAATCCCATTACCCCTACTTGAAGGGTCTTAAATTGCTTTTTTATTTGTTGCTGAATTCAGTTCTTCAGCACAGTTAATTTTATTCTGAACACTGGTATTCAAGTCAGAGGTTTGGATTTAGCCCTTACCTTTTCTTTACCTCGAAGAACCTGATTTGTAGGTCATGAGCAACCCTAACCAAAATTTATTTTTACAGTTAAGTGAACAGTGGTATTTATGACAATAATAGCATTTGCTTCCACGTAAACCATAGACATTTTGATAGACATATTTTCATGGTAAATTAAGTAGTCTTTATCCAAGTAACGAGGAGGAAATAATCATATCACCTGTTTTAATTTCTGTGCTAACTACTGTTTACTCTTTCTATGCTCAGATGTGTGGATTGCCATGTACATATCCAGATGGCTCTTGTGCACGTGTGTGCACAAACATACAGTACAGCAATACATTTGTCTCTCTTGAATGTCTTTGCAAAGTTAATGTATTGGAGTTGAACAGGAAAATGAAATGCAAGATAAATTTGAAATTAAGTTATATAAATGTGTAATTACTTGAAATTATATATTTATGCAGAAAAAGAAATTCATAAAGCATAATTTTACTCCTGTTCACTTATATTACATTATGAAATGAATGACTACATTTTATCAAATGTCCCTATAGGTGCATAAATAACCAAAGTGAAATAATATCATACTTGAGTGACTTCTAAGCACTTTACATTTTGGTTCATTTAACCTTTACAACATCTCTCCAAAACAGAAACAATCACTGTCTTCATTTAAAAAATGAGGAAATGTAAGTTATAAAGAAATAAGGCAACCTCTCCAAGTTCTTACATTTAATGAATTTCGGGGCTAAATTTTGAATCTTTGGCTTCAGGTCCACCATCTCAAAGCCCAGGCTGCATTGTGTCCTGAAACATACACGTGTATATCATTCGTATTGCCCAGATTTCATTGTTTCCTGTGTAACTATCTCTATAAAAAAACATGTTTATATACTAAATTTCAATGTCAACATTATCTTGTGTGTTTCCCTCCTCGGTTCAGGAGCCTTGTCAGCTGTGCCTGTGCCAGGGCCACCTTGCAGGTGCTCGAGGGTGCTTGATTCCTCCTCTGAGTTTTGTGATTTTGCTCAGTTGACTGAATTTGGTGCAGAATGGAGATGTGTGGGCCTTAGAAACAGAGATGCCCTTGATCATGAGAATTTATCAGTGTTGAATTCTCATGGAACATAAAAGGCGAGCTGCCTTTTAAAAGTTGTCCAAACATTTTAAAACTAAACATTTAAAACTAAACATTTTAGTTTTCCATTCCTACCTTTAAAATAGGTTTTCCTATTTCTCTCCAGTTCTGGTGCATCTATGTCCATAGCAGCCTTTACTAATGCTTCCTTTCTTCTCCAAACCCTGTCCTTTATTTAGTCCAGGGCCTAGATTCTCTTCAACCTTTCTACTCTTCATTCTTGCTGTTGCTTCTTGGCATTGTTTAAAATATGTTTGTAATGCATCCTCGGTCATCTGTTATCTGTGTGATTGATTATATTTTTTTACACAGACATCCTAGAATGTTTGTTAATGGCGTGGAGCCATTGGACCCTGGAAACAAAAATCTGTGTGGAGTTTCTGTTCTGTGGGTGGGTCTGGTTAAGGAGCTCGCGCAACTACGCTCTTGGAAGGCTGATCTCTTACTGCTGTCGTTTCTAGGCACGAGGACTGGACTTGTTTCTTGTGAGGACATGTGTGGTGGTGGCAGAAGAATGGCCTCAAAGAGCACCCATCCTGTCCTTTCCAAAACTGTGCAAAGACTTGGGCCTCCATACACAGGCTGTTAGCTCCTCATTTGGCTGTAGAGTGAACCTGGCCATTTGCTTGCAGGTGAGTTTTGTTGATGTCAACAGTGCTGTAATGACAGTCACTGTTAACGACAGGTGTGCAGCACACACTCAATCTCAACCTACTTTCCTTGGCTGATGCTTAGTTACTTTTGGAAGATCTCTTTTAATTAAATGCACATGATTGGTGCTCCTTCCCTCCTTCTTTTTTGCTACATTTTTCAGTAACCATTATTTATAATTAGCATTGATAGCACTTATTCTGCTGGAACATTTTAACTTTTGTAACACAAGTAGCAGTTTTCCCAGACCTCTGAAGCTGGGCTTTTTAAAATTAGATACTAGACAAGTATTTCACTGTGGCAAAAAAAAATCCTGTCTTTTGAAGTACTTAGTCTTATGTATACAGATAGTGGTTTCTGTAGGAAGAATTTTAAACATGAAGCAGGTTTGGTAATTTGCAGTGGTGGCAATTTAGAAATAACAGTTATAGCTGCATTTCTGTGGCATAGGTGTGAGGCCATACTCCTCAAATAGCCTTCCTTAACCATGGCTAAAAACTAACAAACAAAAACTAGTTTTCTTTCTTTCTCGTTATTAGCTCACTTTCAAGTATCTTCAGTATTCCTTTCCCTTTCTGAACACATGAGGTCCAGTCCATCGCCATCGGTGTGCCGGGTCAGGGCAGCCTGAAACAAAGGAGAGGAGAACCATGTAGGACTGTTCTCCCCACGGACCCTTCCCAGAACGTCAGGCAGGAGAAGCTCAGTTGCAGAGTTTGTTCCTTGAATTTGTTAAAACAATAAAAACTTCACTCACAGCAGGAGCTGGAACAAAGACTGGTTGACACAGAGTTGCCCTCTGCTCCCAGCCTACCCCCTATCTCTCCATTTAAACACCCAAAGATGGTAGCGTACAACAGTCTTTGTCCTCATTGAACATTTTTCTTGTAATCAGTGAGATGGATGGTAAATAAAAGATAAATTCTTGAGTAAGTGAATCAAATATTTTTAGTAAAAATAAACAGAGTGAGAGGGTAAAGAATGGCTTGGACACATGGGAGAGAATGTTAGAAAGAGTGGCCAAGGAGGCCTCTCTAGGGAGTGAATTTTAGCCAAGTGCCCAAAAGTGAACAAGGTGCACAATTTGGGCAAGTGCAAAGCCTTGGGGCTGGTAAGTGAAATGTTTGCTTTCCACTAATTTTTGCAAGAATTGATAAATGTGTGATGATGGTACCACACAAACAGAGTGAGCATAGCCCAGGTCTGACAGCAGAAATCCCATGTCTCCTGCTTATGCAGGGCCTGTGTATTTTTATGGGGCATGATGCACAATAAAATGTTTCAGGAAGCAATACCAGAAAATACAATTAGCCAATCAGTAAATGCCAACACCCAAAATAATCATCATTCACCCCTTGATATAAACATATAAACAAAAAAAAGCACAATATTCCAAATCCTGTACCTAAATATTTAATGGCATTGAAAAGTATATGCAAGTTTTCCTTTGGAGCACTGCAGCTACCAATATATTTGACATCAGTGAGTGGGCATATCTGTTTTCAGTCGATTTGTTGTTTCCGACAATACGATTTTCAGTCAGATTGTTTGTCATCCTTATTCAATAGGTCTGCAGTTTGGTTCCGAACATTTTAGTGGAGAGCAGCCTATTAGAAGGGAAGAGTCTTTACCTCTGTCCAAACAGGGAATGGAGCTGTGTCCAAGTGATGCCAGGGTTTACCAGCCATGGTCTCAGGGAAAGTGTTTTGTGGAGTCCATGGGTGCACCCCTTTCAAAAGGGTTCCCTGGTGTTTGGAAAGGCTGAGTGAAACAACTGACATGATTTAATGCCTGAGAATGCTTGGATCTTTCACAATCCAGCCTCAAGTTTCTCTCACCCCCCTTTACAATCTGATATGAAATGACATTGTCTACCTTAGGGTCTTTCATGCTTTTAATTTCTAACACCCTGACTCCCTCTGTTCTGAGTCTAAAATGGGCCTCCACCATCTTCACACGACAAAAATGGCTTTTCATTACAGGTCTCACTTCTGATCCCTCCAGTGGGAAGTATTTCCTTCCTTTGACTTCCAGTGTCCCTTTGTCCCTACCACTTTATACTTGCTTTAACAGACTTCGATCCCCTCTGGTCTGTGAAAAACTGTTAGAGAACTCAGTACCTCCCATAGTCACAGAGTCATTTGTTAAAGTGAACTCATTTCATGGGTGTACTAAATGCAGTTCCTGTACCTGCAGACATGACTCATGAAGAGAAATTAGGCGTATTTCTCTGACTAGAGTCAAGCTTCCTGTGTGAAGTAAGTACATGGCAGCATGGAATTTTTTTCAGAATGAAGCACAGTGTGAATCTCCAGCAAATGAAAACCCACAGCATCATTTTGTAACAAAACTAGTGGGGTCCACTGACTGCTGCCTATAGACAATAACTCTGAAGACAGTGTCTGGTGGAAAAGAAAATGGAATATTTATTTACTTACAGATATACACAACTTTGATGCATACCCACACTGCCAACATTACCAGAGGAGCAAGCAGGCTTCTGGTGGGTGGCCAGCACAGTGGTTTCCTGAAGCTTTGCACACAGGAAAGAGGCGTGGGGCTTGTCCTCCAGCCACGTTGCCTCCCGGGCTCTGCCTGCCCAAATCTCCTCTTCCCCCACACCCTGCAACCCCCTTTTTGCTGGGCTTGCTCTGAGCACCTGCAGTGCTCCTGGTCAGGCCCAATGTGCTCAGGGAGGGGCATGGAGCCTGACCCTCTCCAGTTGTACTGGGGCCATAGCCGACTGGCCTATACTGGCATGGGCCATGGGTAGGCAGCAGCCACCATGGCTTCTTGCCTTGGAATGGGCATGGGGATTGCTGGCCCAAGCCAGAGGCATGGAACACTGGTAGGAGGCAGCTGCTGTGGCTCCCTGCTAGGGGGAGAGGTGTGGGGTTTGTTGGCCCCAGCCTCCCTGAGTCCACTAGCCTGAGCCTCCCTGAGGCTACTGGCCTGAGTCTCCTTTTCTTCCCTCTTACTGGAGCTCATTGCACTCCAGGCCTACCCTATAGCACTTGGGGGGCGGGGCTGAGAAATGCTCCCAGGCCACCCAGTCCCCAAGGTCTGGGGCCCAGGAACTCCAGTTCCCATCAGTTGGGAAGGAGAGGAGAGAATCTAAGAGGGCAGAATTCCTACCTTCTTGCCTTTTAAAGGCTCCCTCAGAATCCCCTGGGCAGTGGAAGCAGTTGGGAGGTTATGTTTCTCCCATCCAATCACCTTCCTAGTTTTTGAAGCCATCATGCACACTTTTTTTTTCCTCTCATACATGTGTCATTATGTTTGCTAGGGCGATGCACCCATGATATGTCTTCCACACTTCTCCACTCCTACCCATTTCTGGGGGCAGGGGGAGCCCCCCATTACAGTTACCCCCTTTAACACACTGGACACTTGTAGTCTTACAGGGACAAATGGACAAAGGTACCCTTCTTTTGTAACTCCTTCCTGTTGACCAAGGAGTGTAGTCCTACCTATTCCTTGATCCAGAGGTCCCTAACAAAGGGGCTCTGGAGTGGAAGGGAACCTTCATGTGAGGCAGAAGGATCTTGCAAAGTCCAGGTTATTTTTTTGTCCCTGAAAAGTGGTACATGAGATGTTCAAAGGATGGCATTACTGGACTAGTTGTCATCCTTGTGTTCTGGAAGTGACAAATTTGGCAAGAGTGTTAGAAGGTACAATCAGAACCATAACAACTAAATGACAAAGGTAGGGAATAATTAATTCTACAGTGTCCCTAAGAAAAAAATGGCTTCCTTGGAGGAAGGTGTGCAAGGAGTGTCACACCTGTCTGGAGACTTACTGCCTACTGTACTCAAATTAGGCTTAGGTGATTGTCCTGATATTCCCACCTTTAAGACTTCGAGACCCTTTCCATCCAAACTATTAAGGCAGAGAAGAAAGCAGTTTTTTAAAAAATATGTTTTATTGATTATGCTATTACAGTTGTCCCATTTTTTCCTCTTTATTCCTCTCTGCCCTGTAACCCCCTCCCATGAACATTCACACTCTTAGTTCACATCCATGGGTCATATATATAAGTTCTTTGGGTTCTCCTTTTCCTGTACTATTCTTAACATCTCCCTATTTTGTACCTACTGTTTATGCTTATTCTCTGTACCTTTTCCCTCATTTCTCCCCCCTCTGCATGCTGAAAACCCTCCATGAATCTCCATTTCTGTGATTCTATTCCTGTTCTAATTGTTTGCTTTGTTATTTATTTTTTAACATGTTTTTATTTAATTATTGTTCAAGTACAGTTTTCTGTCTTTTACTCCCATCCCACTCCACCCCCCCAGTGCTCCCCACCTCCCTCCCTTTTCCACCCTTCTTAGTTTTTGTCCATGTGTCCTTTATACTTGTTCCTGTAAACCCTTCCCCTTTTCCCCTAAAATTCCCTCCCCTGTTCCCTCTGGTACCTGTCTGCCTGTTCTCTATTTCAGTGTCTTTGGTTATATTTTGCTTGCTTGTTTGTTTTTTTGTTTAGCTTCCTGTTAAAGGTGAGATCATAAGGTATTTGTCTTTCACTGCTTGGCTTATTTCACTCAGCATAATGCTTTCAAGTTCCATCCATGCTGTTGCAAAGGGTGGGTAGGAGCTCCTTTCTTTCTTTCTTTCTTTCTTTCTTTCTTTCTTTCTTTCTTTCTTTCTTTCTTTCTTTCTTTCTTTCTTTCTTTCTTTCTTTCTCTCTTTCTCTCTTTCTCTCTTTCTCTTTCTCCTTTCTCTCTTTCTCTCTTTCTCTCTTTCTCTCTTTCTCTCTTTCTCTCTTTCTCTCTTTCTCTCTTTCTCTCTTTCTCTCTTTCTCTCTTTCTCTCTTTCTCTCTTTCTCTCTTTCTCTCTTTCTCTCTTTCTCTCTTTCTCTCTTTCTCTCTTTCTCTCTCTCTCTCTCTCTCTCTCTCTCTCTCTCTCTCTCTCTCTCTCTCTCTCCTTCTTTCTTTCTTTCTTTCTTTTTCTGCATAGAATTCCATTGTGTAAATGTACCATA